CTGCGCCACCAGGGAGGGCCGATACTTTTTATTTTTATAGGAAGTTTTATCAGAAGAAGGTACGACTAAGTTAATATTTGGTTCTCGGCTTTTTTGGGACTTTGGCTAAATGATGCTACTTGTTTAGCTGAAACTTTCTTCTTTTCACAGCTGCTGCGTTTCCTATGTCAACCTTGTTTTTTGTTCAATTCCAATGTGTACAAAATTCTCTCCATAAAGCTTCAAGATCTATTCCGTTTTCTATTTAATGTCCCACACAGCATACTTCTAAATGTTTTATTTTTCAGTCACCTTTCCTATCAGTGGAAAGGGAGAAAGATATAGATTGTTTAGCATGTGAACATTAATAACATAACAGTATCCATAAATATTTTTGTGCTGCTAATCCTAAATTGTCTATCCAGCCTCCATCTTGTTACCTACAGTTCTGTATTCCTAAAGCAAGATCAGAACTGCCCAGTCATAGCAGTCCAACCCTACAAGATGCCTTTCACATCAATTAAGAGCATAAAGCTGGATCACCCTGGGAAGGGTATGCATCATGAGGTATGACCGGGAACGTCCAGGGGGCGGTTGACTGGTGTGTAACGAAAGACCCCAGAAGCTGATCAGTGGAATGCATTGTTGATAAGATTGAAATTCTGACTGGGGAGTGAGGCTTGAAATATGGTTCGGAGCTATCAACAGATGAGAAGTACAGTTCCACCTTTCCCCTGCTTCTTCTACTTCTCCTTTTCTACGTCCTCACATGATTAATGCTGTATGACTAGTTTACCAATCAAAAGGCCAGAATCTTGCTCTTGGGCAGCATCCTGCATTATGTCGTCTGCTCCAAGACTCCCGTCTCTATCAGTGTGGTGTTGCCCAACGCAACATATTTTGATGATTTCACAAGGAAGTGTTTCTGCAGTTCCAGAAAGCTTTTCTAGCTCAAAGGAAGAAAATATTTAATGTTCACTATCATGTACTTGAGAGCAAAATGAGTGTGTTTCTGTGTGGCACTAGACTGCTTTGGAGCATGCTGGCTGTTTCTGTTCACAGCTGACGTGAAGCCTGGAGTCCATTCCTTTGAGACACCTCATGTGTGTAATCCACTTTGTAGAACCTGTGGTTTTAGTCAGACTCATCTAAGTTATGTTTCTCATCTAATTGGCTTATAGGCCATCAAGAACTTCAGGACATCACTCTGTTTCTCTCTCAAGGCCTTTCTCCTTGTTAGGACCTCTCAATGCCTGGGGCCTCTCAGCATCTCTTTTTATGCTCTTTTCAGTTTTTAGTACTAATTGGTTTATTCTTTGATGGGTCAGAGTTCAGATTCCTATGGGAAGAGATCTGGTTAACTGGGCTCTTCTTTCCATGACCAACTTGCGTTGTATGTCAGTCTCTGGATTGGCTGCCTTGCCAGGACCACTGAGCAGGGTGGGAATGGGGGTGCTAAAATGACCCAACAGCAGCTAAAAACCAGGGCCTCCCTGGTGGCAGAGGGGTTAAAGCTCAGCACTTTCACCAAATTTATTAAGGAAATCAAGACGAAACATCTTTCATACTGTGAAGAGGATTTTTTTCAGTGTTCACCACTCATCCAAATATTTTTTTATTGATCAGTTTTAGTGCTATATTAACTGTAGGACATGAGTTCAAGGCTGCTTTCATTAGTGTTGTTTTTATACTTCTTGTTATTATGGTATCAAGAGAAAACTGGGAAAGTCTATCTTGCAGAGGAAGAGTTCAGAGATGGTGAAACACCCTAAAGTTAAAAGACTATAGAGAGGCAGAGAATGAGAAACAGTATCAAAGACTTTAATTTATCATCTAATACCAGAGCTGGAATGGAGGGTTTGATTAATATTCTTGATAATTAGGAAGTGTTGGGATTGCCCTTTTTTCCTCATGTAAGATTACATACTAAAGAAAACTGAATGACATGTTAAAGAGTCTTCAAGTATGATTACAGAATCTTATGCTTTAAATTCATCTTTCTTTAATACCTAGAGAAAGATTGATGAATCTATAACAAATATATGCACATAACATAAATTATAAATGACAAACTACTTTTTATGATTTCTTTTTTCAGTTAATCCCACCCAAATAATTTCAAGAAGTATACCAACAGATTTGTTCTAAACAGATTTTTTTTCTAGCTGTAAATGGAGGGCCAATCCTGTCAGCTCTTAAGCTCTTGTTTGACCTGTTTTGTCAAATGCTTTCTGGAATGATATTCAGAATGGTGCAAAGTGGTGTCAACTTGCATTAATTCTTTTCCAAAGAGAGGTGTTCAGTATTCCAAGTGTGTTTGTACTGGCACAATCTATTTATGTTTCAGCTTCATTTCAGAAGGTTTACAAGCACTGCTTTATTTGGAACTCTATTCTTTTTTGCAGTTTCTCTTCTATTGTCCTTTGAAAGGACAATAAGGGTGTCCCATAAAGCTGCTTTAAAGACGGCCATTAAGAAAATAAATATTTCAGAGGACTGATTAAAATACATCAGTGCAAAATCTTGTGATTTTACCATAGATTATAATCCAAAAAATTCATTTATTCAATTAAAAAAAAAACCTCAATGAAGTAAATCCATCAACAGTCTTGTATTTTGTTCCTATGTAAAACATAATTTATTAATTTGTTTTTAGCTAATAAGAACCATACATATGTTCTTAAAATTATATAGTGTCCTCTAATTCAGTTATAATGATTGCACATTCTCCTGATTGAATTTCATGAACAATAATATAGGGTAATACAAACATTTCATTTCAAATTCCTTCTTTTGAAATGACAATGTAAATCACTTCTCCATCATTTATCTTGTTTAAAAAGCAATTGAGAGAAAAGTTTGACTCTAAGTCTAGATTTTAAGGTGAATTCTTGATTTTGCTTCTTCCTCCAGAAACCAATTACAATCATGACTGCTGAAGATCTTTTTCAAATTTTGTTCTTTCCGCCTTTCTTCTGAAGCCGGTTCCTGGTTGGTTCTGTCAATACCAATGGTTCTTGTATGATGACTGCAGGGTAATTTTTGCCTAATAGCTCAACTTCCACTTGTTGTCCCACTTTACTCAGCTCCACTGGAACATACGCAAAAGCCAGACTCTTTTGGATGCTGTAACTATAGCATCCAGATGTGGTGTTGCCAACCACCTGAAAAACAAAACCTCCAGTCCTCAGATCTTGGTCACAGCTTTGTGCTCTTCCCTAGAAGAAACACTTAACACAGAGATTCAACTTACATTCTGAAAGTTGTCGGACAACACAGTGAGAAAAACTTTACTTTTTTTCAGAAGACTAGTGAAAGTTTATAAATTATGAAAATAACTCTGAAGTACAAATATTACATGAAATGCTCATTCTTAAAAAATAAAACCTACTTTCTTAACATCTGGCATTCTTTTGCTCAATTTCCTGCCAATAGATCTGATGGGAAGAAGGATCTAATATTTTCATTTTTAACTTTAAAAAAGCCTTTTCTCATCAAACTAGCATTGCAATAATGGGAACAAGGAGTATAAATCTGAAATCCAAATGCAAACTTAGTCATCCTTCTCTTTTGGGGTTTAAAAAATGACCTGTTAAAATAGTGCTGAATTGAGCTATTTATTAATATATCAGTAGTCAATGTGAAGCGAACATCACATATATAAATATATATCATTTATACATTTTATAAGTTTATTTATGCACTTACTTAAACATTTATTTATACTGCTAGACATTCCAGAGAGTAGCTCAGGCCTGCTTCCTACCTCTGCACATTTCCAGCTAATTTGGGAATGAATATAGACACAAGAAATATGACTAAGAAGTCAAGGAAATCACCATAATTAAATAGGATTGCTCCATATGCTGAAGATGGATAGAATTAGGTAAGTAGAGATGGGGGATGAAACTTTCTAGTCTGGGTAACTGCAAGGAGTTAGGCGCAAGTAATCAAAATTAAGGAGGGTTAATAAGATAATTGGGCATGGAAAACATAAAAAATGCTGAGCATGAAATCAACATTTAGGAGATGAAAACAAAGGCTTTAGCTGTAAAAATAATCTCTATATAACAAGCCTGATTAGAAGGTAAGAGGATTCATGAAAACTAGACCTAAGGAAAGGATAAAAGAAAAAGAAAAATTGAGTAAAATGCAAAAATATTGCAATACAGAAATGTCAGGTTAAAACACCACATTTTAAAAAAGGATCAGGAAGACAGCCAAAGCAAAATGTATTGTGCATCCCTACTCAAAATAGCTTCTCCTGGCCACACAAGGGAACATTACCACTACAGTCTCCCCAGCTAGCCCAGACGACTGCTTGGGACTTTCTCAAATCACCCCCGTGGACTTTCAGTGTCTCAGCAAAGAGCCTACTACAGTCAACAGTGTCCTTACATACTTCTTATCTTTTAGATACCAGCACATACATGATATAAATACACACTTGATAGGCCCAGTTTTTAATTATCTTGTTGAATTCCAAATCAGAGGATCACTGTATCACTGTTGAACGTATTATGGTGAGAACTAGTTGATTAAAACAACAATATAAATGCATTCATTAGTCAAAACTGCTCTCAGGCAGATTTATTAACTACCCAGCTATTGCTGAGCCAGCACACATACGATAGCACTTGCTAAGCAATTTGCTTTTCTCCCATAGATCACAGTTCAGTATAAAGCAGAGACCTGAGTCAGAGTGGTTGGGGCTTTAATCACTGCTTTTTTGAAAGACATTCTTGGTAAACAGAGGCTTCATTTCCCAGTTCTGTAAAACAGAGATCTATATGTGCAGTCATGACACAGTAAAACTGGTTTGCTTGGTAATTTAAAATAAATAAATAAAATTCTAAGAGGCCTTAGTAAGTAAGTAAGCTCTTGACCAAATTCCCTACACACTGGATAAAAACCCTACAACGACTGTCAGAGGCTGTGCATCATTTCCTCAGAGTTCCCATCTCTTGAAATCCCAGCAGTCGTTACTCCTGCACTAGTAACTTAAAGAAACAGCTTATCTATTTTGTGAATGCTGTCTTAAAATCACTTAACTGTTTAGTTTTCATTTGGTTACTTTAATTTTTCTTCTAATTGCTCTCTAATCTAGGGGTGAGTAATTCAGAATATTTTAGAAGTCTAGCCTTTGCTTTTATCTTATTACTAAACCTCCATGGAGAGATTTTCTCTAACATTAATTTTATATTGTTCTACCTTGAAATCTTCCATATTCAATGAAATCCATTCCTTCTTTTTTTGTTCCGTCAATGCCCTTTGCCGAGTAGGTTCTCATTCTCAGATTCTGTGTGAAATTAAACATTGGTCTCCTTTCACCAATGTAAACAAGCCTCATTTATTTTTAGTCTTTTTTCATTCCTCTCTTAGTTATGTGACTTGAAGCTGCCACTAATTAACTTAGGGATGATAACACAGTAAATAATTTTTATCAGGCTAAAATAATTTAAGTTAGACAATGCAGTTCATTTCTTTGACAGCTCCCTTCACTTTTGTTTATAAGTAGTGAAAAAGAAATGTTCTAAACTCTTTTTCTCCAGAACTTGCCATCCTAAGTTTTATAACAAATAAAAGCCTTTTTCATGCTTTAATTTAAAAAATTAATTATAAAATTTAATTCAATCATAATCTCTTTCTCCAGGACTATACTCTCCCAACTGGATGCTACTTTTTTCCAGGGCACTAATTACCCTTTACCATGCTATTTACTTATTTTGTTCATTGCCTATCTCTTCATCCCCCTGGAATATGAGTTCCAGGGAGTACAGAGACTCTTGTCTGTTTTTTCACTGCTGCATTCCAAATGCCAAGAATATAGATAGGACACAGTAGACATTCCATAAAAATATGTAAAATAAATGAATAAAGTTGTACCCTATTTTTAGTACTATAATATGTATGATAATAGAATACCAAATACCAACAAGCACTGTGCAAGTCCAAAGTAAGGAATTATAAAGCAAACAATTTTATTTCCCTCTCAGAGTATAAAGTGGAGCAAAGGGGGCCATTTGCATGATAAAATGACCCTTCAAACTATCAAAGTGCAGACAAGCTGACATGGGAAAAATTCAAGCAACATATTATTAATAAAGGAAAAACAATTGGATTAGCAGTTTTGTAAGCAGATGGCTCAGTGTAGGAAAGTTGAAAAATATAACATGTGCATTTGAAGCATAGATATGGCAAAGGAAATAAAATTCTGAATGGAACTTGAGTTTCCAGGATTCTTCTCCCTCAAAAAATATATTGAGGTATAAGTGACATATAAAACTGTGTAGTTTGAGAGGCTAATTTCCCACTTTAATTTCAGTATTTTATTTTAAATGACTACAAATCTACCTGTTGACCATGGCTGATAAGTGGTTGCATAAAGAATGCTACACTATAATGCACTATCACTCCGTGGCCAAGTAGAAGAGAGTGTTGTTTTAAGGATGGGTATGGACTATGTTAGGAATAATAGGAAAGTTGGATGAGAACAGACTGAAAATGTAAAATGAAACAAAGATGAGAAAGGGAAAATATAATAGCTAAGGGGAAATAAATTAGAAGTAGCGTGAACCTTAGACATTATTACACCCAATTGCTTCATTTTATAGCTGAAAGACCTGAGGCCCAAAGATGCTTACATCAGGTCCAGCAGTTACTTCATAGCACAGGTGGGTTTTGATGGAAATTACGAGCAAATCTTAAAAGGAAGGGAGAGCTCATTAAGTTAAGAAAGACGACCCACAGATCTAGAACAGAAGGACAGGAGGCTGTAAGAGTAGGTGTGGCTCAACTAGAAGAGCAAACTCTTCACAATTAAAGGTGGAACATTTAAAAAAGGTCTGAGGTCTGAGCAAAGCCTGTTGGTTTCACCATGTCAAATAACAAATCACATCCTCCTGTTCTTCAGCCAAATATACACACTGTCCGTGTATCATTAAGTGATAAGGAGAATACAGGGGGTTGGCAGTAGAGACAGAAGAGAACAAAATGAAGTAGTTAGCATGGTTTAGAAGAAAGGGCAAGCATATCAAAGTTCAACTACACCTGGGCTGGAAAGCTGGCAGTCAACTACTAGTTGTATAACCTCAAGCAACTTAACCTCTCTGATACAAACACTCATTTTAAAGTGGGAATGTTGCTACATATCTGGGAGAGGTGTTACAAAATTAGATGAGTAAATACATAAAAAACATCCAGCACATAGTAGAAACCCTGTTGTTAGTTCTGCGTCAAACTGACTCATGCCTGAGTCCAAGTGGCCTTTCCTTAGTAATCCAAGGGCTGAGATCTGACAGCACTGGACTTCTCCAGCCCCAAGTGTTTTTATCACTCTGAAAAGAAGGGAGAAATGAAAACAAATATCAAGGAGATTGAGGTGCATGAGAAAAAACCTGGGTCTGGAACCTCAGTCTTGGTTATTGCTCAAGCAGTCCTGTCCAAAAAGGAAGAGTTGTTGAAGGCCGACCTGATGGTCTCCATGGTCAAAGCTAAGTGTCCCACACTAACCTAATAACTAACACAGGTCAAAACACAGCAACATCTTAGGGTTTTACAAACAGCTGAAAACTGGAGGAAATAAAAGTCTTTTATCAGTTATCTAACTCTGGTTTTACTGAATAGTACTAGATAAAACAAAATGTAATATTCTAAAATAAAAATAAGGTAATTTTACACTGCCTCGAAAAGCAAAATGGTTTCTACTTTTTAACTTTACTTGTAAGGTTCTGCCCTCTATCATCATAGATGCTTTTATCTGAAATTTTTTCCTGCTACTGTGCTAAGAATTACCTCCTTCTGAAAGCTCCCCAGAGGCTAAACCTCATACCAAATTCTTGACAAAAGACTGTCTCTTGCATTCACAGAATGGATGTTATGAGCAGATGATTTTACCCTCCAAATCATACCTTCCTCTTTGAACAGTGAATTTCAAGTCCTTGGTTTAGTTTCTTTAATGAAAGTGTATAGAGTGTTACATTTTCAAAAAAAAAAAAAAAAAAAAGGAGCGGTATTCCATTTTCCCTTCAGTTAATTCACTTGTTTCCTGAATTTCAGCTCAGAAATCAAAGGTGTGTCATGTCACCTCATCCATAGATAAATAAATAACAAAAGGCAACAGAAACAAGGAGAGCTTCTGTTGTACACTGAGCTGTCCTGGCCGAGCCCCAGCACTCACCTTGCCATCACACCAGATGCTTTCATTTCCCTCTGGATCAACATCGTCCGTTGCCAAGGTGAGGCAGACCAGTCTCCGTTTCAGCCCCTTGGCTTTAATCTGTTTCAGTGCTTGCTTTCCTATGAAGTCTGCTGGCTGCAGGAATCCAAGATAATGATGATGAATGAATGCTCAGACACTGTGACAAGGTTAGAGATGCAAGCATTTAAATTTGTCTTTGCTATTTTCTCGCCAATTACACATTAAATAAAAATACAGATTGGATCAAATGTCTAGACAAATATTTCTTAGTCCTCAAATGACAGTCTCAGCCACCTATTCCTTCAGAATAGGTTAGAATTAAGGGTAATAACTTGTGATAACAATTTTACCAGAACCATCTAGGCAGAAAAAAACATAAGCCATGATGTTGCAATGGTAGATTATGAAAGTGACCCTTGTAGCTAATGGTTCTGGACAGTGGTACTGGCTGGCAGTGAGCAAGACACAACTCAATTTCTACCTAAAATAAGTTTTTTACAAGAAGGAAATTCACTTTTTTGAAATGTGGTGCCAAAACCACCTCAAAATGCTGTATAAATATTTATTTTTCCTTTCTTAGAATAAAGATATTGAAAATATCAGCCTGATGGGTTGCATTCATTAGTTCTTTTAGGGTATTTATTGAGTCCTGACTATGAGGCATCCTGATCAGCCCTATGTGGTTAGACACACACATTCTGATCAAAGAGCTTATTCTGGCAGTGTGCTTTTGAACCTATTTTTTTCTGCTTCCATGCAACACATGACAGATGACATTCCTACTATTAGTGACCTCCCTGGGGCACGCTCAGGGTTATTCCCAATGCAATGCAAGGAGAAAGAGTGACAATGTTATAAAAATAACCTTGAATCCATTCTTACACATTAGGAAAAAAGTCTTTGGACCAAGCAAACTTTAGGGCTTTCCGTGTTAGCAACCCACATTCTGACTGAGTTGAACAAACAGGTGAGCAATGGCTCCTCAGAGGAGACACTCAGCTAATAAAGGGGAGACAGTGAATCATCAGAACATCAGGGACACTGGACAAGTGTGAGAAACTAATCAGAGGCTAAAAGTAATCAGTATAGATTAGACTGATACCAGCGGATGCTGTGATAAGGTTTCTGTATAAATGTGCCCAAGCAAGTACCTGTTATCTTATGGGGAAAAAGAGAATTTGTAACAAAGAAACCATATCTTTAGTGAATGAAATTCAAATAGAGATGACAATGTGAAAAACAAAATTCTCAAACAGTTCCAGTATACAAACTACTCTAAAAGAAAAGAAACAATTTTAATTTTTCCTGAGGCTAAGAGGAAAGAAAATATTTTATGCCAAAAATGTTCTTCACCATCAACATCTAGAATTTACACCATTATTTCTGCACACAAAACATTAAGGTTTGAGTGCAACAGGTCACCCTTACCTTCAGTCAAACTACAGTTGGGTTCCCTACAAGTGTTCTGCCTGAGACCCCCAGTTACTCCTTTACTGACTCAGAGCTTTTAGAGAAGACTGAAACTTTAAATTGCTGACCTGCACAGGAAGCTAAAGAAAACTCCTATTGGCCAACGTTAAAATAATGTGCAAAAAGAAAGTCTAATTCTTCCCCCACCCCCAATGTAACTCAGAAGGTAAGAACCAAATACAAAGCTTTATTCTGAATACAATAAAATTGAGGGAAAAGATTCAAAGATCGGAACCTAAGTTACTTAAGACAAGATTACTTAAGGAATATGACAATGAATTCATAGGAGATTAAGTCATTTGAATTCATGTATAGGATAAATTCATAATAACAAGTCATAATGAGCCAAATTTCACTAAAGAATGTATACCTAACTAAGGAAAGAACTATATAGCAACATTTTTTTTTTTTTTTGCTTACTTTTAAAAAGAAGGCTTTAAATCATGGATGCAATATTGGATAAAATCATTGATACTTCAATTTCAATTATAAAGTACAATTTTTCAGACTGATTGCATATAAGGCACTGATTTTTGTGTATTGATTTTGTATATTTCTACAAAAAAAAAAAAACAAAACAAAAAACCCTCAAGCCATCTGCAGCATTATGGATGGAGCTGGAAGGGACTGTGTTAACTGTAACAAGCCAGAAGGAAAAATAAATACAGGATGGTTTGACTTATAAGTGGAATATAGAGAAAACAAACAAAAGGTCAAGAAAGAGATAAAACTAGCAAAGTCTCCCTCTAGATCTGAGGCCTAGAGCTAGGAGGAGTCAGAGCAGGGGGCAGAAGAGCACAAAGGACAATGTGGCAGCTCCTGGGCGATGTGGTGGCGGGAGAATTGTGGCCTCTAAACCTGGGGGGAGAAACCAAGCACTGCACAAAAATGTACAACAACCCAAGAAAAGGCATATAATTTTTAGACACCTAATTAAAAGTAAGCAACATATACTTAAAAGACAGATAAGAGATAACTTCAATCTGCCCCTTGAGATAATTCTCCTTCCCAAATTAACTTCTGCACCTGATCTGGGAAGATGCAAAGTGGGACAATGGCATTTCATTCTCATTTTACTTGGCTTTCCTCCCAAGACTGTAGATTTTATTCTACTCTGCAGTTATTAATTACAAATGAGAGAAGAAAATGTATCTGAAGGTTAATACTGTGATTAAAACTGGTGCTTTCAGGGTGACCTGAGAATAAAAATATATCTTTTTAATGAGTCACTGCCCAGTTAACTGTATAAATAGCTACTAAAGTATACATTTCCAGGGCCCTGAAACTATAGCTTAAAAATAATTCTGACCTTTTTTTATTATTGAATTTAAAACAAAAGTCATTAAAACAGACACCAACAATACATACAAATATAGATGAAAACATTAAGTAAATTTTAAGTGAAATATAACTTCATATCTCTTTTTAGCTCTATATTAAAAAGCAAACATGTACCTAAAAGGGAATGAAATAAATTATAACTATATTTTTGGTGGTGATTCTCAGGGAAATGGAGAGTCATCAGATATGTGTTTAATGTGGAATTTGGCAGCAGTTTAAGGACAGGAAAATTCTAGTGCTGACAGTCAAGGTAGAGGGCTCTCTACTCTTAGACCTAGCAATGAGAAAAATCTCATCTTGACCTTTTTCTGTTTGATATATTTGGAGTCAAACCCCATAAAAAATTTTAAGAAAATCATCATTTCATTTATTTTTTCCTCCAAAGTTGTTTCATGCTAAGTATCAAAATAAGTACCAAAGGTATACGGGAATCTGTATAAAGCCCAAATCCCAAGAGAGACCTCTTTAGAAATCAGGCAAGGTGGGCCCTCGCCCTCCCTGGTAGCACAATGGGTTAGCAGCTTCAGTGTGAGTTGAATCCCAGGCCCTGGAGGTGACCCCCCTGGCGCAGCAGACCTTTCCTGAACTGCCCACTGCTCCCCTCAGAGTGTACTTCATAGATCAGCCTGTTCTACTCCCCACTCTGTCTCTGGTAAATCCTCTCACCGCCCCTGAACCTCTGGCTTGTAACATATTCTATATGCATAAATAAATAAATCTTAGAAAAAAATCTGTATTGCTTTAAAAAAAAAATTCAGGCAAGGTGCTGGTTGTGAGATGATGCTCCTGGTTTAAAGGGTGGAGAGAACAGCAGAAAGACTGCTGGCTACCAGCTACTGTAACTGGCAAAGCGGAGGATGACAAACTGTGCCTCAATCCTTTCCTGAAAATTTTCTCGTTTAAAATGGGGCTCTGGGCCTCCCTGATGGCACGAGGTTAAGTCTTAGCACTACGAAGCTATTGGCAGCCACTGCAACATGAGTTCAATCCCCAGCCTTGGAGCTGACCCACATGGCACAGTAGACCTCTCCTGTCTCACCCCCTGCTCCCCTCAGCAGTGTATTTCAGTAGATATGCCTGTTCTGCTCCCTACTCTGTCTCTGGTGAATCCTCTCAATCCCCCTCACGCCACCCCCACACCTGTGGCCTACATCTCAGCTCCTGTATGGCATATATAAATAAAATCAATCTTTAAAAACAAAATAAAATTGGGCTCAGATATGACTGTTTAAAAACAATCCTTTCATCTTAGCTAGAGGAAGTAGGTGAGAGAAAGATATAAAAGGAATCCAAATTGGGAAAAAAAGAAGTGAAACTATTGTTATTTGCAAATGAAATGAAAAGAACTGAAGGACACAAAGAAAACTGTAAGATATTATGAGAAGAAATAGAACACACTGAGAAATGGAAGGGTATTCACTGGTAACAGACTAGAAGAATCAATATTGTCAAAATGGCCATCATACCCAAAGCAATATAAAGATTTGATTTAACCCCAGTAACATTTTCAATGGCATTACTGGAATTCATATGGAACTACAAAAGACCCCAAATAGCCAAAGCTGTCCTGACAAAAAAGAGTAAGAATGGTGGTGTTAATGTACAAAATCATCCAGTTGCCTCCCGCGACAAAGGACAGGACCAGAGATGCACCAAGCAAGCGGAGTTTATTAAGCCAGCTAGCTGGGGTCAAGCTTTCTTGCAGGCACTCAGGCCACACAAGGAAAGCAAGACCCCGATCAGAGAAATGCCAGGGAATATATAGGCCTCATCAGCCATTACATGTGTCACAGCCCACGCAAATTCAATTCAGCCAGTAAATTCAAAGATTAACTACATCAAAACAGCTCAACCAAACAAGGGCATGTTTCTAGGAATAGACATTTCTACAAGTTCCAGGAACTACTGCCGGGATGCAGTATCTGCCTGCATCTGTTCCGGGCCTAGGGCGGGGGGTCTCATAGGGGCCTAGACAGCGGGGCCTAATAGTGGTACCACACTACTATAAGGCCATAATAATTAAAACTGCATGGGCCCTCCCTGGTGGCGCAGCGGGTTAAAGCACAGCATTAAGAAGCTTAAGCCACTTCTGCATGAGTTTGATCCCCGCCTTCCCTGGAGGAGGTCCACATGGCGTGGCAGACCTCTCCTGACCCGCCCGCTGCTCCCCTCAGCAGTGTACTTCATCGATCTGCCTGTTCTCCTCCCCTCTCTGTCTCTGGTGAATCCTCTCACCCTCCGCATCTCTGGCCTGTACCCCAGTTCTACATGAATAAATAAATAAATCTTAAAAAAAAACAAAA